GAAAGTGTCAGGAGAGCTGATGAGGAGCCAGCCAGAGCAGGATCTGGGGAAGAGTGTTCCAGGCTGAGCGAGCGTGCAGCAAGTGAGAAAGTCCTGAGGCTGGAGCAAGTCTGGCAGGGAACTTCCGATGCAGCTGGGGTGTGGGGAACAGACAGTGGTTGGAGATACAGTGAGAGAAATGGGCAGGCCAGATGGTTGGGAGCCTGTGAGCTGAGGGGAGAAGCTTGGGTTTCATTGTAAGTGTGATTGGAGGCCTGTGTGAAGTTTCCAGAAAGGGGGTGACCTGATCCCTCAGGCTTTAGGAATTCCTTGCTGGTTGCTATGTGTGGAATGGACTGTAGGGGGCAGGAGTGGCTGCGTGGAGACCCACAGAGAAGGCTGACCTGGCTGTCCTAGCAAGAGACGATGGGAGGTGCCTGTACCAGGGTGTAGCACCCACCTGAGAGACAGATGGGGCAGGGACTGGAGAGGTGGATGGGAGTGGGACTGGATGCATTTTGGAGAAAAGCAAGTCTGGGTTCCTTGTCTTGAGATGGGGTGTCCTGTGTGGGTCCCATACATGGTGACATCCGCTTCTTTCAACTTCCTTTCAAATAGAGAAAGCAGTGGAGAGTACAGTGAGATTCCTGGAGGAGGTTCCAAGAGCAGTTGCTTGGTGGTCAGAAGGAGCCAGAGACCTCCACCCAAGATATGCTCCTCTTCTTTCCGCCACCACTGTGTGCACATCCCTCTACAGTTTGGAAATTACTGTTAACTCTATCACTTGATGCTTACAAGGGAAAAAAAATAAGGTTCAGGGAAGCAGAGACCATTCAAAGCCACAAAGCAGGGTCCAGGGCAGGGCTGGGACACAAACCCACACACCAGTATACCTCCATTTTGCCTGTGGGATCTTTATTCTGGTGATTGTGGTACAGACAGGATGACAGGTACCAGCTCTGTTTCAGAGAAGGGGAAACTGAGGCCAGGGAAATGAGGTTTTATGTCCTGGACAGTGTTGTCTTAAGACCTCTGTGGCTCAACAGCTATCAAGCATATTAAAACATGGCCACATCAAACATCAAATGTAAATTATATATAACCAGATAAAAGCCAAATTGCAAATGACTAGCTGACATCATGTTCTGTTTTTGCAGACATTTAATTAAACATTTATTAATTTTGATTCTGCAGTTTTTCCCCGGGCTTTGAAGCCAATTTTCCCCCACAAGCCTCAAACACTCTCCTAAGTCCATGAACATCTCCCAGACCCCTGGCAGCGAGTAGTTAGTCTGGCTGGAAGGAACAGCCACTGCTTTGGTCCTGTTGCCAAAAGGACCCGAGAGAGGCTGGGCTCAAGAAGGCTAGGTCTTTTGTCCCTAGGGTGCAGGGTGGTTTCTATGCTCTGACCCCCAAGCACCATGGACAGGTGGCAGAAGTCTCCTTTCCAGCCTTCTCCATCCCAGTCCTGGACGACGGGAACCCTTTGTCTGCGGTTAGCTGGAAGCTGGCAGAGGAAAGATCAGGGGTGGGCGGGGCAGTAACGGGAGGTCTGCCAGGTGGTGATGGATGCTGGCGGGGCTGGCACCGCCCTCATCCTAACCTGGGTGGAAACAGATGGTCTCCTCGCCTCAGAGAAACTTCCAGGGTATTGCTCTTCCCCAGCTCCCCAGGTCCTTTCACATTGGACCAGCTGGCCTCTCCTTCCTGTTCGAAGTCAGAGCCACAGGAATGAGGAAGAGAGTGGGCTGTGGAGCAGGCCTGGGATGAAGGTCTGGGTTCCAGGGCCCTCAGAAGCCCTGGGGCCACCTGCCACCCACCCCATAGCCCTCACCTCTGGCTGCTTCCAGGTCTGTTCTCTTCCGCTCTGGTGCACCACTCCCTTAGCTCAGCCCTGTCACTCGAGCCTGGACCAGCCCCAGTCTCTCCTTGGCTTCCCTCCAAGCCAGCCCTCGGAGTAGGCTTTCGAGGCTCCGAGCTGATCCTATCACCTCCAATTCTGGGATTCAGATTAAAAATTAAACCTGTGCTCTCCAGTCCAGATTTCCTTTTTTCAGGAACAGAACCCAGGGCCTTGTGCATACTAAGCATGTCCTCCACTGCTGAGTAATGCCCCTAGTCCTGCAGCCTAGACATGGCTGCGACATTTAACGAACTTCCACAATGTGATGAATTATAAAAATTCTGGTCTTCCTGTGCCCCATCTGATTAGAGGCCTCCGGTCTAGGCCAGCCTATTCCCCTGAAAGGGTGTGGGCTCCCATTGCCTCTGCACTTTGCATCTGCCAATTCTCCTGAATGCCCTCCTCTATTGTCGTCTGTCCGTGTGTGTGTGTGTGTGTGTGTGTGTGTGTGTGTGTGTGTGTGTGTAAGATGTACTTATTTGTATTTTATGTGTATAGGTGTTTTGTCTGTATGTATGTCTGTGCACCATGTGAGTGCAGTTTCCACATAAGAGAGCATTTGGGGCTGGAGAGATGGCTCAGTGGTTAAGTGCACTGACTGCTCTTCCAGAGGTCCTGAGTTCAATTCCCAGCAACCACATGGTGGCTCACAACCACTTGTAATGAGATCTGGTGCCCTCTTCTGGCCTGCAGGGACACATGCAGGCGTACTGTATACATAATAAATAGATAAATGTTTTTTTAAAAAAAGAGAGAGAGAGAGAGAGCATTTGATCCCCTGGAACTGGAGTTACAGGTGGTTGTGAGCCATCATGTGGGTACCGGGAATTGAACCTGGGTCCTCTGGAAGAGCAGCCTGTGCTCACAACCACTGAGCCATCCCCTCAGCTTCCCCCACCACTAGTGTTTTTTATTGTATTTTACTGCTCCATTGGTTGATTGACTTGGTGTTTTTTTGTTTTTGTTTTTGCGACAAAGTCTCTTCTTGTAGCACAAGCTGGCCTTGAACTTGTGGTCCTCTTGCCTCAATCTCCTAAATGTTGGAATTAGAGACAGTACCACCATGCCCAGTGCCAACATGTACTTGAAAACAGAAATTAAAACCAGGCATTTCAGTGCCTATGGAAAGGGAGCTAGGAGGCAGAAGGATTAGGAATTCAAGACCAGCTTGAGCTAAGTAAAGAGTTTGATGTCAGCCTGGTTACATGAGAAACTACCTTAAAAACAGAAACAAAATAAAACCAACAGAACCTGGCATGGTGGTACATGCCTGTAATGCCAGCACTTGGAGGGTGGAGGCAAGAGGATTCGGAGTTCGAAGTCATCCTTAGCTGCTTAGTTAGTTCTAGACCAGCCTGAGCTACATGAGATACTGTCAGGAAGAGGGGGGTGAGGGGGTATTTCTTGTAGGAAATCTTCCCTGACTGCCCCCCCTCTCCTGCCAAAGTTCCCCATCTCCCTCTCATGGAAGGGTGAGATATGAAGGGGCACAAAACCCAGTACAGAGCTAAGCTGAAGCACATCTGCTGTATGACTGAATGATGCTGCTGCAGAAATCCTGTGTGAGAGTGGGGGGCGGGAGCAGGAGACTCCGAAAATGGGGTGACCCAGGGAGATGACTTACCACCACTCATCAGAAGAAGCGCAGTCCAATCCTGGGGTTGCCAAGCAGGCAAGGGAACAGCCCCTTTCCCTCCTGGCTGCCAGGTGTCCTACTGGGGATGTGCCAGCAGCAGTAACTGGGGCTGAGAGGACCCAAAATTGGATGTTCTTGGCCACATTTTGGGGAAGAGAGTCCAGGGTCAGAGCCATCAAGCCCACCCCTCTCATTATCACACGGAGACCCTGTGGCACCATGATTCTTTCCGCAAGCTGTCAGCACACCATGGATCCCCTGGTTCCAATGTCCTAGAAATGCCAGCATTTTCCCATCCCCAGTGCCTCAGTTTGAGGTTCAGGCAATAGGTCACTGGGTCTGTGTTGGACACTCTCTGCCTGTTTTCTGGGAAGCCACTTTTAGAGAATCCCTCTGTGGTTTGGACAAAGAGCTAACCTGCCATATTCAAAGATTTTCAGGGTCTGGGGAAAGGCAGGTTCTGTGGTCACAGGGGGAAATGAGACTCAATTCCTCATACCATGTGAGCATTGCTCTTTAACATCCATCCTCTCTGCTACTTGGGCAGGAGTGAGCACCGACTCAACCGAGTAAATTAGAAGTCGAGTCAGGAATTGATCTCAGGGCTTAGATCCTTCCTATCTACTCCAAGGTTATCAGAGCCACCGAAGTCAACAGACTCGCCACTACGCATTCATTCATTTGTAAACGCATGGCTTGAGCACCTACTGTGCTGTAAGAGCTTCGTGTGCTGCTTTTAGCAGATGATGTAGTCACTGGCATGGAGTTTACAGCTGTGCCTAGCGGACAGTTCAACCCACTGTGCCAAGGGCTGGAGCGGAATGGGGCGTGGGGTCTGAAGGAGGCTCCTAACTTGGGGGAGGTGGTCAGCAGAAGCCTGATATTTGAAATAGGAGCAAGACTTACCTAGGTTTGGAACTGGGGTGAGGTTAAGGAACAGGGAGAGGTGCTCCAGGTACAGGGAGCAGCAAGGGTAAAAGCCGGGCAGCTGCTGAGGATATCTGTTAAATATCCTGGAGCCTGTGGCCTGTGTCAAACAACTGTTAAGTTTGTTAGGTGAGCAGCTGAGGCCAAGGAGCAATGGGTCAGGACCTGGACCTGGCACCAGCTGTGATCCATACAGGAAATCCATGGCCAAACCTCTTCCAAGTTTCCAGCAAGAAGCGGTGTTGTCTAATGGTTGGTGCCCGGAATTGAGTTCTGGTTCCGCTGTTGGCTGGCTGTGTGATCTTGGGCAAATACTATGGTCACTGGCTCCCAGTTCCTTCCTCTAAACTGGAGATGAGGACAGGACTAGGCTAGAAGCTAATGGATGCACTCAGCGCTCTGCAACCACATCCCAGAGAGGCCAGCCCATTTTACAGCCGCAGAGTAGGCGAGTGAGGTAGGGAGGGGACTCTCCCCGGCGTCGGCCTGGAGGCTGAGATGGGCGGGAACACGAGCCGGGAGGAGCCTGGACCTGAGCACCACTTCCCCCGGCAGGTACCTGCGCGCCCTGTACCTGGGGCTACAGAGCCGCTGGCGCGGGGAGCGGCTGCGGCGCCACTTCTACTGGCGGATGCTGTTCGAGAGCGCGGATGTGAGCATGCTGCGTCTGCTGGAGACCTTCCTGCGCAGCGCGCCGCAGCTGGTGCTGCAGCTCAGCCTGCTGGTCTACCACAGCCGACAGCCAGACCTGCTGACTGGTGAGCCCCGCTCGCTCCGCTCCGTGCTGGCCCCTGGGGATACCCTGCGCCCCGCCCCAAAGGCAGGCCTGCCTGGCCAGGGTTTAGGGAACCACAGGCCCTCATCACCCCCTAGGCATCTCCAGACCTCCCCTTTCCTCTAACTTGTCTCTTCCATTCTGACACCACCCCTCAGACACCCTGGGCTCCTCTCTTTGCCCTCACTATTATCAGGGCAGACCATATCTTGCCTCTGCCCTTTACTCCCGCCAACAAACCTTAGACCCCCTGAGGGAGTCCTCTGCCCTCTGTGTTCTACAAATTGTTGAGTCCTGGCCTGCATCCTCTGGGGACCCATTGCTTTACAGACCTGCCCAATCACCATCAGTTTCCAGAGACTCTGTCCACCTATCCCTTCACTGGACGTCCTGGTCTCCTCCCTTGCACCAGGTCCCATTAGCCCCAACATTGCCCCTTCTGAAACACTCCAGTCCAGTGCAGTCAGTGTCACAGAAAAGTGACATCACCTGTTTCTGAAGCACTTCATGCGCTTCCCACCCACACCCTGCCTAACCCACCCTCAGTGTCCCCGGTCTCCATCACTAGTCCTCAGGCCCCTTGAGGACACCTGCCCTCTCTCTGGCCAAGAATGCAGTGTCTCACGTGGGATCCCTCCCTATCTCTGCTTGGCTCTAGCTGTCCCTTCATACCCAGCCTAATATCTTCTGATGGGTCCCCTGACTCCTCCGTGACTTAATGATCCCTTCTTGACCTCCTCTTCTCCAGAGTCCTGGACCCTAATTTCCCACCCTCCACCAAGACCCCTGAACCCTGTCTACCCTGTACTAGAACCCTAGACTTAACGCCCATGGAGATCAAAATCACCCCAAATCTATTTCCCTTTATACTCCCATTACCCACAGAAGTATCCCACCTCATTCCCTGCCCCCACCCCATATCCTTGCCCTTGTAGACCCCCAACCAGACCTTCCTCATACCTGATCCACAGACCCTTCCCTCACACCTCCACAGAACCCAGGTCCTGACCCAGAACCTCCTCTCCAGACCCAACCTGGACCCACCCCTAACCCAGCCCACCCCATCCCTACCCTGTCTCCACAGCCCTCTCCATCTCTGCCTCCCTTGTGTCCTTGGCCTGGACACTGGCATCCTACCAGAAGGTGCTGAGAGACTCAAGAGATGACAAGCGGCCCCTGTCCTACAAGGGTGCTGTAGCCCAAGTACTGTGGCACCTGTTCACCATTGCAGCCCGAACCCTGGCTTTCGCCCTCTTTGCCAGCGTCTACAAGCTCTACTTCGGCATTTTCATCGTAGCCCACTGGTGCATCATGACCTTCTGGGTTATCCAGGGTGAGACAGACTTCTGCATGTCCAAGTGGGAAGAGATCATCTACAATATGGTGGTGGGGATCATCTACATCTTCTGCTGGTTCAACGTCAAGGAGGGCCGCAGCCGCCGCCGAGTGACCCTCTACTATTGCATCGTGCTGCTGGAGAACGCAGCACTCACTGGCTTCTGGTACTCCAGCCAGAACTTCTCTACTGACTTCTACTCACTCATCCTGGTCTGCGTGGTCGCCTCCAGCTTTGCCCTGGGCATATTCTTTATGTGTGTCTATTACTGTCTCCTGCACCCCAATGGGCCCATGCTGAGGCCCCAGGCACCTGGCTGCATCTTCCCTGAAGCCCCAGGGCCCTGTGCCCCTCCGGCTGACGCCATCACAAGTCCACCAAGATCTCTGCCAAGGACTACAGGCACTGAGCGGGACGGGGCCTCAGTGGGAGGTGAGCGAGCTGGGACTCCTACGCCACCTGTCTTCCAGGTACGACCCGGTTTGCCTCCCACGCCAGTGGCTCGCCCCTTGCGGACAGAGAGGCCTGTCATTCGGATTGACTTGCCTCGGAAAAAGTACCCAGCATGGGATGCTCATTTTATTGACCGCCGGCTCCGGAAGACCATTCTGGCTTTGGAGTATTCTTCACCTGCCACGCCCAGGTTGCAGTACCGGAGCATGGGCACCTCCCAGGAGCTGCTGGAGTATGAGACCACAGTGTAGGCATGGTCTGCCTCCCAAAAGGGACAGGCTTGGCTGATCCCACATTGACCACAGTGTTGAGTCTGGATGTCAGGGCCACCGGGCTAAGTGGGAGTAGATCTTTGGATCCAAGAATGGCCCCACCATGGGGTTCCCTTAGGGGAGAGGGCAGCCCTGTGGAGGCCCGAGGCCTCATTTTTAGCCCTGCGGCTCATTCCCTAAGTTCCCCTGGACCAGGGCACAGGGTGTCAACTGGTGCTACTCCCTCATAAACTGCCCCACTCTCATGGGGATGCCATATTATGCTTGGCACAAGGGTCTTCACCTTTTCCCCTGCCTAGAATCATCCCACATCACCCCTGGCGGGCCTACCAGAGAAAAGGCACTGTATGAGGTCCAAGGCATCCCTCAGGGAGTGTGGGGAAGGGCTGCCTTGTGGCAGGTGGGGATCCCTGGGAGAAGGATGGAAAAGGCTGTGGGGGATGTGGGATAAATTGGGGGGAAATCTCTGGACAGAATCGCCACAGTTCCTGTAAGAAGGGGAACTGGACAGGTGGAGAATTAGATCAGGCAGTTGGGAGGGAACCTGGGGATCTGACAGTGCAGACATTAGCAGGATAAAGAACCCTCAAGAGTGAGGGCTGACAGCAGTATGAAGGGATACAAGTGTGGGGTGGGGTGCCTTGGCTTGGGAGGTGCATTTGGTTGGGAGCTCTGTTCCGGATGAGTTCTAGACCCCTCAGATGAGAGGTCACAAGGGACTGTTTGTTCTAGAGGTGCATCTGAGATGTTCCCTGTAGAGAAAGGTCTTAAGCACAGCAGATAAGATGTCTGGGATGGTACTCTGTCTGGCTCCAGCATACTGAGAGAGGACCTGTTGGGGAGATATCTTAGTCTAGAATACCTCTCGACAACATGTCCTAGGGAGCTGCTGATCTTTTATAAGGATCAAGGACTCTAGAGCCCTGCTGCTCTGATGTGGACGATTCTAGTTTCTGCCATGGAAGGTGGGGGAGGGGGTATGGAAGCGTGGACCACATGGGTGCTCTAGTTCTAGGCTGCCAGAGTTTATGCGAGTTCTAGATCCCCTTCCATGTCCCCAGCCCTATCTTCTCTAAAAGGAAATGTCCTCAGAACCCCCGAGATGTTTCTGCTGCCAAGTGGTTCTCAGCTGGAAAAAAAAATAGCTCTGGGGACGTGACATAAACCTTGGCGTCCTGCCACCTTGCAGCTGAGGTTCTCTGGGACAGCATCTGGGAAAGTTGAGACTTGTTTTGTCTCAAATCTGAGGCTCCAGGCCTGTGACCCATTCCTATGGTCCAGACATCCTGGGTTGCATCAGGGACCATCGTCCTGGGATGTGCACCTGGCCTGGGACAGCCCATCTTGACCGGGGCACATTATGGGCAGGATTATGGATCCGGGGGGCTGGGCAGCTCTGTGAAGCAGAAGGTGGAGCTTTAGGCAGGGTCTAGAGCCTCTTGTCACTCCTTATGCCAACTGAGGTGACTCACTGGAAGGGGACAAGCCAGGGACTTGGGGGACAAGAGCAGATTGGGCTGGAAGTGTGGGGGCCATAAGAATCCTAGACTATGCAAATAAGAAGATTGTTTAGCCCTCCCTGGCTCAGCCTCCCTTGGAGTTACAGATAGAAAACTGAGGCCTAGAGTAACTGCTGCTCTTGCAAGGTCTTAGACTCCTGACTGTCCCATCAGTGGTGATGTGGCAATGATTGATTTGCTGAGGAGGCTGGGAGGGAGCTACACTCAGGGTGAGGCTGAGAGGACACACTGTGTGTATGCACACACGAGCACACATCATACCCAGGATACGAGCCACCCTGCCTGGCACCACGGGTAGCTGTATTCATTCTGCTGGTACAGAATGCCTTTCCCTCCCTCTGCTTCACTGACCCCCAAGAGGCCTCCAGAGAGACAGATCGCTCCATCCTGCTCCAGGCCTGATCATTCTCTTTTCCCTCTACCCTGAGCTAGCTTTGGGGATTAGTTCCACGGCCAGCTATCCACCTGTTACCATCTCTGTAAGATGGGGCATTGAGAACGGGCCCCAAGCCCAAGCAGCCTTATTCTGCAGGAGTCATAGTGCCGGGAATTGTCACTCCATTGTTTCCCCTGTGTGTGGCACCCTTCCAAGAGCTGTACCTCCATCCCACACATCAGAATGGTGACATCTGGGCTACCCTTGGCAAGTTATTTTAACCACCACCACCACCACGCCAAGGTCCTAGAATGGCCCTGTGGATGCCCCATTCTCCAGCAGCCTAGAAGGAAAGGTTTTAGAACCCTTAGTTGGTTGCTGCCGGAGGTCAGGGCAGGCAGGGAAGCAGGATAAGCAGAGGCAGGCATGGTCTGAGGCTGCAGGGAAGCCACAGCAGGCAGGGAAGCAGGATAAGCAGAGGCAGGCATGGTCTGAGGCTGCAGGGAAGCCACGACCACATTTTTCATCCTGATCTCACAGAGCTTTCCCTCAGACCCCTGCCTGCAAGGAGATTTGAGCACCAGGAAAGGTCATGGTCAGAAGGCCCTCACCCTTCTCTGGACAGAGCCCATCTCCCCCAAATATTAGTCCCCCTCCCCCTAGCTCAGGACCCCATCCTTCCTGGCCTGAGGCCTCTCTCATTACTGGCCTGTGTTTTTGCTTCACTAGGACAGAAGAATCAGAATGGGAAAAGGCCCCATCTTCTTGGAGCTGGTTTATTTTATTTTATTTTATTGTTTGGTTTCTTTCTGTGACACAATCTACCTCAGCCGGTCTTTTTCCCCTGCCACAACTGGACCCCTGGGGTCCTCCACTCCTGTCCACAGACCATTAACCGAGTCTGGATTCTTAGTTCTTCCCAGGATCCCTGTAAGGTTCCTCCAGGGAGAAAGGACTTTGGTACCATAGCCTTGAAGGAAGGGTCCCCAAAGTCACCTGTCTTTCATATCCATTATATAGAAGAAGCAGAGAGGGCCACACGTTTGCCCAAAGTCACACAGCAAGTTAATGGAACCACAGGGTCTTCCTGGGCACCAGTAAAAGTTAGCTCTGTTCTAACTTCTTCAGGAGCAGCAGGTAACAGGACATCTTGGGGACAGAAAAGCCAGGCCTTCCCTTCCTAATGTAGAACCCTGCCTCCTGTTCCGTGAGCTTCCACCCTCAAATCAACTCCAGCCACTGCCTGTGCTCCTCAAACCTCCCCAGGCACCATGAACTGTACCTCCGCTCACCAATGTACCACGTGCCTTGTAATGGTCACCCCAGCCAACAGCACAGGCCTCCACCCTCCCCTGCGGGGACTGTCTAAAAATATGGGCTTGGTCCCTTCCTCTCATCTCCCCCAAATCTGCCTTACTCTCAGCTGGACCCCTCTTGTACCTGAAGTGTGTCACCCCGAGAGTTGGAGAAGCAGAGGCCCGGGAGGACAAGGCTGAGGATGTGCAGGTTTCCGGATGAGAACATGGCGGGCTTGGGACCATCATCCCCAAACACTCCCTAGAGACTGAGGTTCTACAAGCCCTTGCACCACAGCCTGCCTGGGGCTGGAGTCTACGAAGCCTGACAGTGGGAGGAAGGTTCTCTGAGGCAGGGTGCATGGGTATAAACTCAGATACCCCCAGGAAAGTGGGGTGAGTGGAGGTTCAAGAAAGCAGAACTGTGGGGATGGGCAGAAGGAGGGTGTTCTGAACCAATGAACAATGAGGTTTAGGCTTTGGAAAACAACCTACTGGGCACCAGTCTGAAGCTTCTAATGCATCAACCCCTCCAGGGTTGTTGGGAGCCTCTGGAACTTGGCTTGGTCTAACCCTAAATCTCACCCTGGTTGTCTGGAAGACTCCAGGTCCCTGGTCGTTCCCAACATCTGATAAGGGGTCCCTTATGTGCTTCAGGAGGTTGCTTAGGCCCCGAAGTCTTTTCTAGTTTGGGGGCTCCTGATTCAGAGGGACTCTCTAGGTAGAGGGAGAGTTTAGGCACAGGTCGCTAACTGAGCACCAGGAACCCTGACCCCATCCCATGCTGCTGCACAGCTCTTTGGCATCTGCTTCCTTCATAGACTGAGCCTGGGTGAGGCTGAAGGAGCGGAGCTGAAATCTATAGGCAAGTGCTTTGTGGTGTTGTGAGGGAAGGGACTGGCTGAGTACCAATCCCCAGAGGGAGCACTGTAGGGGTCTGAGTCCCCCTTCTAGTCAAGGACACTTCTGAGGCCCTGGGCTTAGGGAAACATGTGTGCCATTCTGGGTTGGGACACTGAGTTCTTGGTTGCTGCAAGTAGATGCAAGAAGAACTGAATCAGGACACTGCCGGGGACAGGGCAAGGAGGGTCCACTCCAACCAGGTCTGACTCCTGCAGGCAGAATCCCCAGGGCACAGTGTTCCCGTGCTCAGCCCCTACCACTGTAACCTCATTCCGAGGCCACCTCCTCCCTCCTCAGCATCTCTGGCCTTTATTCTATGCACAACTCTTTATGAGTCCCCCGGCCAGGCTGGATGGTGGGAGCTCAGGATATCTGCAATAATCTCATAGTGGATGGGGTCTCGGGACAAAGAGAGAGCGAGGGGAGCCACAGGAGGGAGGGGGTATTACTCCCTCCCTCACCAAGTATCAGAATCCAGTCAGACCTAATAGGACTCTCTCTCCCTGCCCTCCTTCTGTCTGGTTTCCGAACCATAAGAGGGGTCCCCAGAGCCCTCAGGATTCCCCGAGGATGTTATGGCTTGAGAAGTAGTTTTGGTTTTCCTCCCAAAAAGAGCCAACTTAATAAAGCATTGGTTTCGCGACCTTAGACTAAAGCTGAGCAGATAGCAGATACATCCTAGTGAGGACTTGTGTCAGCTTCCAGGACTCAAGTGTGAAGGACTTTTGCATTCTATATTGGATGGCATAATGCAGAATCCTCAGAAATACTCATGGATATCAGGGCCTGCCTCTGCAGACCCTTGGGTGGGGCCTGGGACCTCCACGTTGGGCATCAGTGGTTTAATTTTCCAGTTACTTTGTAGTTTACAGATGGGGCAGGCCCAGAGATGGGAGGCAACTTGCCCAAGCTCACACAGCAAGCTGGTGGTAAGCTGGGACTAGAGCCAAGGTCCCTTGGGAGAGGGATCCCACCAGAATACCTTCACCTCTGATATCCCAACATGTCCACAGGAACCACTAGCCATGCCTAAGGGCCCAATTTCCCTGTCAGCACAACTCCAGGTGACTTCCCCCATGTTCTCACTCCCCTCTGTGGTCAGCCCCAACTTCTGCCCGCTTCTTAGCGTATTCCCAGGCCCACTTCCTGGTATTTACTACACCTGTGCCATTCCCAGCCCCCCAGCCCAACTAGCCCTTTCAAGCTTTCCCTGGGCAGGGGAGGGGGCCCAAGCTGGGGCTTCTGTACTGAGACTTTTGTACACCACAAACTTTTTGTATATTTTTAATTTTGCTGCAACATGAGATATTAAAAGTCATTTCAGTACATTCTGCTTGTGTCCTGTTTGGCTATTCTGGGCCGGGGTAGTGGATGAAGAAGAAGAAAACTGCCTCCCACCACAATCCCACTGGATCTTTTAAAGGCACTTGAGTGGGAAAGAGCTGGACATTATCCAGACCTACCCATTGATTGGACAGAACATCAATCAATCACCCAGAATCTCAGACTGAACTTCTCTGGGGGATTATCTCTAAGCCCATTTTACAGAAAAAGGGAAAAAAGATGAGAGATGGGAATGTACTTTCCCAAGGTCATCTCAATGAGTTCTTACAAGAGCAAAGCTCAGCCCGAAGTTCCCAGCCCAACTGAAATATGCATTAAGTGTTTATGATGCATGTGCCAGGGCAAAATCCTAGGTACAGTGAACAAGAACAGTAAACAGGACCCACCCTCAAGAGCTTACCTATTTGGGGGTCTTGGTTGTAAGAGATGCCTTCCAAAAGGGTTTCTACTCCCCCCCATGCTGGGAATTGGGCACAAAGCATGTGCTTAGGGACACACTGCCACTGATTTGCACCAGCCCTGGGTTTGACTCTAATGTAGCACTTCCCAAACCTCAAAGAGTCTGAGAACCAGCTTCAGCAGGGCTCACACCACTTGACCTGAGGCAAAAGGCTGAGAAGCGATAGAGGGGCCTCATTTCAAATACAGGCTTCTGCGTTTCCAAAGGTCTCAGCCAGGCACAGTGGCACACCATGGAACCCCCAGCACATGGGAGGTGGGAACAGGAGAATCAGAAGTTCAAGGCAGCATGGGCTATGTTAGATCCTGTCTCCAGAATAAAAAGGTGTCTGGGAGAGTCTGGTGTGAGGAGGGGTCTGAAGACCCTCTCTCTGAGGACCACTGTTTTACATCTTCCTACAAGTCTGATGGTGGCCTTTACTTGATGCAGAACCTCTCGTGGCTCCCTGGCCACAAAAATAAAGATCAACCTTCTAGGCTGATGCTGACTTATTGGAAGCTGGACCCTAAACATTTGAGGCACGTGTTAGTGATACCCAGCACTGCGACAAATAAACAAGCAAAACTCTAAAAATACAACCTAAAAGGAGGAAGGATTTATTATGGCTCACCATTTCCATGGCCTCTTAGCTCCATTTGTCTTGGAGCCTGTGTGTGCTGATGCAGAGCCTCATGGCAGGAGGTCTGTGGTAGAGTACAGTGGCTTGTCACATGGCAGACAAGAGGAAGAGAGAGACAAAGAACCAGTTTCCTCCTCTCTGGCTTCTGCTCTGCCTGAGGCCCCAGCCATCGGACAGTGCCATCTGTATTCAGGGCAGCCTTCCCGCTCAGCTGCCATGCCACGTGCCAGTTGTCTCTGGAATGGAGTTCACAGACAAATCCGGAAGTGTGCTTGACTGATTTTCCTAGGTGAAGATTAGCTATCCACAGGGCCATGAGAGGCACTTGCTGCCAAGTCCAATGGCCTGAGTTTGATCCTGAGGCCCCACGGGGTAGGAGGGGAGAACAGACTTCTGAAAATTGTCCTCTGACCTCTACATGGGTGCTGTGGGGTCCGGGTATCCACAGAGGTCAGAGAGCACAGATCTCCTGGAACTGGAGTCACAGGCAGTTGTGAACCACCTCAGGAGGGTGCTGGGAACCTAACCTGGGTCCTCTGCAGGAGCAGTAAGTCCTCTTAGCTGACAGTCACCTCCCATTCCTGCAGAAATCTGTTCTTGACAAGCCCTCCAGAGGACACTGATGCTGGCCCCAGTGTGTAAATCACTGACCTCAGAGCATTAATTCCCTTGGCTGGGGGTTGGTGATGTACAGGCGCACATGACCTGGTTCTGGTAACCAGAGGCTCCAGGACTCTCCCGTAGCCATGTTTCCTTTTACATAAAGGAATTTCTTCTCTTACATGGGCACTCTGAATGAAAGACTCCATTTCCCAACCCCCTGTGCAGCTTTGTGTGGCCATAGAACTGTGAGAAATTCTAGTCCTTGCTTCATAATAAGAGTACTGGAGTCGCCGGGCGGTGGTGGCGCACGCCTTTAATCCCAGCACTCGGGAGGCAGAGCCAGGCGGATCTCTGTGAGTTCGAGGCCAGCCTGGGCTACCAAGTGAGTCCCAGGAAAGGCGCAAAGCTACACAGAGAAACCCTGTCTCGAAAACAAAAAAAAAAACAAAAAAACAAAAAAAAAAAAAAAAAGAGTACTGGAGTCTCGGAGAAGTTGAAGGGAAGCAGTTTGTTTTCCGACCTTGCAAAGTCAGATGTCAGCCTGGAGTCGGAGGCTCACTGACTGAGGCAGAGGCAATCTTTACACATCCTAAAGCATGGCCCTTCTTCTCTCTTTGGGATCACCAGGAGGGTATGATCCTACGCACTCTCTAGGTCTTATGTCTCCCTTTGTTAAATTTGTCCTTTTTCCCATAAAAACCATGTGTGGGTTCACCTCTACGAGTCACCTCCTGCTTATTTTAATGCTCATCCTATGAGTGATAGGACAGTGCAGACACGCTCGCTGTGAGTTACTTTCTACTCTAATCCTCTGGTTCGAGGGTCCGCGCTTCAGAGAGTTATCTAGACCAGCAGGCAGGAGTTATGAGTCCCATGCTTTCTGTTCATTTGCGGTTGGACCTAAGCTAACTGGAGGCACCTTTCAGAATGGACCATCAGATGTGATTTCCAATAGAACCAAGTTCTGGCCCCTACAATGTGAGCAGTAGAACTTAGAACTGCTTTAGGGCGTCTCTTTAAAGGAGGGGACGGCACTCTGCTCTCAGCTCAAGGTACTGGCTGAACTGGATTGTAATGGAGAGTGGATCGATGGAGCAATGGCAGCCAGGCACAACATGCTGGTCCCAAGGCACAGCACTGGTGTACCTGTCTAGACTTGGTCCCGGCTGTTCCGATAAGAGGTAAATTATCATGTTGAGGCCACTGTTAGGTCCTGGCTGGTGTATCTGGACCACTGGCTCCTAAGGGAAGGCTTTTAGCTTTGTTTTGTTGTTGTTGTTTGTTTGTTTTTATGAGTGTGAGTATTTCCCTGAATGTACACCATGTGTATGCCTGTGCCAAGAGGCCTGAAGAGGGCACCATCAGATCTCTTGGCACTGGAGTTACAGGTGGTTGTGAGCCACCCGTGTGGGTGCTGGGAAATGTAGATGGGCCCATCAGGTGCTCTCAGTGGCTGAACTACCTACCTCTCCAGCCCCTAAAGGAAGTCTTTTGAAAAGTCACCGCAAGGTTTTCTTCCAGAATAGAAGATACAAGAAGGAGAAGCCGCCGGGCGGTGGTGGCGCACGCCTTTAATCCCAGCACTCGGGAGGCAGAGCCAGGCGGATCTCTGTGAGTTCGAGGCCAGCCTGGGCTACCAAGTGAGTTCCAGGACAGGCGCAAAGCTACACAGAGAAACCCTGTCTCGAAAAACCAAAAAAAAAAAAAAAAAAAAAAAAAGAAGGAGAAGCCTGGCATCATCCGACTGATGGGCTTCACACCTGTTACTCTGCAGCCATCTTGCTGGATACGTTGCTTGATAAAGCTCTTGTGACATGATCCTCAGAGAGAAGAACATGGCAGGAAACCATTTCCTCACAGGTCTGGAGGCAGTCCAAGATGAAGGTATTTTGGGCTGGTTTCTCCCGAGGCCCCTTTCCTGGGCCTGCAGATCCGCCTTTCACTGTATCCTCAGGTGGACTTGTCTCTGTACAAATGTCCCCAGTGTCTTTCTATATGTGTCAAGTCCCTTGTAACAGTGGGATTTCAATTTAATTGTTTATTCTAATTAAAAAGATAATCTAGCCTGGACATGGTAGCACACACCCTTAATCCAGGCCAGCCTTGTCTACAGAGCAAATTCTAGAAGAGTGTCTTAGGGCTTCTATTGCTGTGAGGAGACACCATGACCACAGTAATTAAATAGAAAAACATTTAATTACGGTGCCTTACATTTTCAGAGGTTTAGTCCATTATCATCATGGTGTGACATGGTGGTGTGCAGGCAGACATGGTGTTGGAGAAGGAGCTGAGAATCCTACATCTTGACCCACAGGCAACAGGAAGTGATCTGTCTTACTGAGTGTAGCTTGAGCATATGAGACCTCAAAGCTTAACCCCACAGTGACACACTTTCTCCAACAAGGTCACACCTACTTCAACAAGGCCACACTTCCTAATAATGCCACTCCCTACAAGCCTATGGGGGGCAGTTACATTCAAACTACCACAGACAGCCCAGAACTACACAGAGGAACCCTGTCTTGGGGGGTCGGGGTGGGGCTGAGGCTGGAGCTCAGTTGGTAGTGTGCTTGCCTAGCATGTGCAAGGCCCTGGGTTCCCTCCCCAGCACCAAGTGTAATCTCTGCGCTAGGGAGAAAGAAGCAGGAGGATCAGAACTGCAAGGTCATCTTTGTTCGCGTAGTAAGTTTGAGGCCTGGCTAAATGAATCTCTATTTTAAAAATAAATTGAAGTTACACATCCAAATCCCATCACATCTTGCAGTCCCAGGGTTTGAGACTTCAATACGTAAATCTAGTGGCACATACAACTTATCTCAGGAAACAAAGTAGAAAAATATAAAGACGCCGAAGCCGTTGTGGAGCTGCTCAGCTAACCAACCCTGCAAACACTCACTATCAGACTTCTGCTGAGCCACCTGTGGTCGGAATCGGCTGTTTCGGGCAGCCAGAAGCGACACAACCCAGAACCACGTGTTTGCTCAAGCTGCTCCCTCCGCCTAGCGTAAGCTAGCCTGCATTCATCCTTCAAGGCTGAGCAGGAATACTTTGTCACACCAGCTGCTTGCCATAGAGCAGAGTTCTTCTAGGTCAGGGGCAGCTGTCACATTTCCCCTCTCTGCCTATGACTCCCATCGAGGTTAACCTTTTCCTCCTCTGGGCGCGGAGGTGATTTTTTATAACCCTCTCCACGGCGATCCAGGCGGCTGATTTAACTGGGGCTGAAGCCTGTCTGCCTTGCTGATGATGCTGACAGCAGGGACTTCGCTGGCTCCACTTACCCATTTTTGATTCACTGGCTGATTTTAGTAATGTGCATTGCCATTATGTTTCTGTTCCATTTTGTCCCTGGAACAGCTTTCTGAGGAGAGCACCGTTATTATCCTGCTTTTAACACAAGAGGACTCTGAGGTTCTGAGACGTGATGTAAAATTGCTCAAGGTCATTCGTGACTGAACCTAGGTCATCTGTCTCCGACTGATTTACTGACACTAAGCACTTAATCTATTCATGGCTGTGGGGTGGGGGCAGCAGGCAACACAGAGGTCATTTTGTCTTTCTAGTCATCTCTAAAACACTCCTTGTCCTAGCTGAAATTCCAAGCAATGACATTTGGTCCTATTAGTGATTCTTGAAATAATATAAGGTCCAATTCTATAGTTGAGGAGGCTGAAGCCCAGAGAAAGGGAAAGGCTTGCAAAAGCCAGTACCAAAGCACCGAAACACCGGGACAACCTGTCTTAGCCTACTATCACAGCAAGGGTGGGAATTCCAGACCGGCTCAGGGGTCAAGTAGCAATTCTGATGCTTAGAGCAGAGTGGGGGATGGGCTTGCATAGCCTGGCCTCTTTTCATTGGCCCAACAGGCTGAGTGAAGGTCTCATGTCTTGGTGTTCAGACATGACTGGCAGGATGTAGGGGCTTAGGAGGGAGAGGCTGCGAGTCTGGCACCAAACTGCCTGGACCATTTCCTTTCTGAGAGAAACAGGAATGGCCGGGACTGGGGGTCTCCTGTAGCTCCTACACCCAGAAGCAATGAGAGCCCTGACCTGGTATACCCACCTTTTCAGAAACGCCATGCAGAGTTCCAAGCGCTGGCACCCGCTCCTGACTATCTGTGGCCTCACGTCTTCCTTGGCACAGCCTGACCAGCAAGGCAGGGCTTTGGGATCATCTTTCCTGTGGTGAGGCCCAGAGCTTGAAATATGCACTACAGCCAGGGACACCAGCAAAGCAGTTCCGGAGCCCCAGCCTCCTGGACGCAGGCTCTGTGGCAGGTGTGCACAGGCCCCTCAGAATGTCCCCACATGTGCCCAGTAAGGCACCCAGGAGGTGAGCGCCCCAGCAGTACTGGACACTAGACTTCAAGTCCCGCCAAGTCAGAAGCCCCAGGGTCTCATACTCACTGTATGACACACACACACACACACACACACACACACACACACACACACACAATATAGAATGTTTGCTGAGCACACCGCCTGTGTGACCTTAAGCCGGGAGCTACACATAAGACCGGATTTTTTTTTTAATTTAGGTAACAAAATTCTTGGTTCCCAGATATAGTGAAGAGTAAGAGAGATGAAATATGCCAAAAAGGCAGTTAAGCAGCCCAGGAGCCATAGATACGGAAATAGAATTTGGTTTTTCATTTACTCTTTCACAGTGCTAAGGACAGGACCCAGGGCCTGCAGGCTACTAGGCAAGTGCTCTAAACCACTGAGCAACACCTTCAGCTCTACTAGTTAACGTTTATTGAGCACTTAATATGCTACAGGGGCTCTTCTAAGTGTGTTTAAGCCTAGTCAAGCTACCATGGGGTCAAGATGAATGTGGAAACTGAGGCACAGTGGCTAAGTAAGTCCCAGAGGCTCCCATATGAGAAGTAATGATCATTACTATTATTAATTTAATCTTGAATTGCTTGGACACAGTCTGAAGCACTTTCCAACCACTCTGTCATTCATTTCTCAGGGAGAGGCCCGGTTTTCTCCTGGTGTATACAGAGAAGCAGGCAGCAGGTTCCAAAGTCACCCAACAAAGTCGGTGGCAGACACAGGGGATGATCCAAATGGGATTTCCCTCAGTCTGCTCCAACTGCCAAGCCCCTTGGACGCCATCTTTGGCCCCCACCCTTCAGTGATAGGGTCCCAAGGCAGTGTTCTCCATCTACCCCCAACCCCCACCGTCAGATGGGAGGGGCAGGAACTCTGGTGCTGGTGGAGTTTCCGACCAGGCAGGAAAAAGAACAAAGGAAATGGAAGGGGGGGTCTGGCGGGGGTGGCCAGGAGGGTGGCAGGAGCAGAGGAGCCGGTTCACCATGGAATATGAAGCCAAGAAAGGGAAGAAGGTAGGTGGGAGTGTGCGGAGGACAGGGTTGAGAACTGTCCCTGAAGCTGGGGTAGGGAGGTGAGCCGGCACAGAGGTAGCAAATGTCGCAAGTGCGGCCTTCCTTCTCCTTTGGAAGGATCTGCCTTTCTGTTCCGGGCAGCCAGACATCTGGACGCTGCTCTAAGCTCCACTCTTAGTGGCCTCTGCCACATTATCCTGAGAGACAGATGGGGTCTTCCTGGGAAACCTGCTTCATGAACATTCCGGTGGTAGCTTCCTACAGCTTCTCAGAGAGAGGGACAGACAGACACCCAGCAGACGCATTCCCTGCTCACCCACATAGAAAGGCTCAGCCAAGGTGATTATAGGCTGGCAGATGGCCCAGCCAGGCTGGGGCCTCCCACCTGCTCCCTGGCTGTCTCCCAAGCTACACCTGGCCTCCCCACCTTTGTGCAAGAACTCACTCCTCAGCCCAAACCATCCCAAGTCTCCTCCCCATCTTCCTTTTTCTGAATTTGAGTGGTTTTCCTATTTGTTACAATTCCACTTCCCACTCCATCCCCATCCACCTAGAATCCTCTTCACCCGAGAAACCTGGTTCAGAATGTTTTCTAAGGCACTCACATGAGGCGGTATGGTGGCACAGGCCTGTAATCCCACATATCTGGAGACTGAAGCAGAAGGCTTACAAATTTAAGGTCAGTCTGGGTAAGTTAGTGAGAACCTGTCTCAAAATTGTGAAAGTGGGCTGGGAGTGTCCCTCCATGGCCAAATGCTTGCCTAGCACGCATAAGGCCCCAGGTTTGATACCCAAAACTGCAAAATGATACAAGAATTTTAAGTGTGAAGAGGGCCAAGGGTACAGTTCAGAAGTATTTGTGTGAGACTCCAATACTGACACAGTGTGCCCGATATGAATCTGGGACCAACATATGCACATGTCCTTTCTTGGGTCTATGTATTGATTTATGAGACAGGGTAACCCAGGCTGATCCTGAACTCACTATGTAGCCCAGGCTGGCCTCAAACTCACAGTAACTCTTCTGCTTCAGCCTCCTGAGTGCTAGAACTCACCCAGTAAGGCCTGTTCCTTTGATAGACACTTACTGAGCACCTGTTATGTGCTATGAACTGTGCCTTGTGCTAGGGAGGACTGCTGTGGAACAATCCTTTGCTACACTATGAATATGTTTTACTCTCATTGGTTACTAAAAAACTGACAGGCCGGTAGCTGGGCAGGAAGTTAGGTGGGAAAGCCAAAATGAGAATGATGAGAAGAAGGAGGGTGGAATCAGGGAGATGCCAGTCAGCCAGCCACTCAGGAAGCAAGACATGCTAGAGGACAGGTAAAGTCACAGGCAATATATAGATTAATAGAAATGGGTTCATTTAAGTTGAAAGAGCTAGTTAGTAACAAGCCTGAACTATTGGCCAATCATTTATAATTAATATAAGCCTCTGTGTGGTAATTTGGGAAGCAGCTGCTGGGTATTGGGGAACAGGCAGTCAGGACAGGAAAATTCTGATTGTAGATGACAGTGATGAGCAATGTCAAATAAGGTCCCCAACTCCTTCTTGGGAGCTCACAGTCTAATGAGGTAAACAATGATTAACTTTTTTAAAAACAACAAACGGAATTGATGTAAATGTTGCACAAAGCCGCTGTGCTCAGTGCTGGAAGATGGAGCATTAGGGTATCCAGTCTTAGATTGCTGAGTTGGGCATATGACCTGATGGGTTCAAGGAAAACAAGTAGGGGCTAAGAAACAGCATGTTCCTTCCATGGCAGGAATTAGAAAAGCTGAGCAGCTGAGAGATGGGAGCAAGGAATACTGTATAGTAAAGTGGGGGTAAAGGGTGGGCTGAGGCTGGATCACTGGGGGCAAAGACAGACAGACAGACAGACAGACAGACACACACACACACACACACACCCCCTACTCAGGTATAGGAAAACATCCTAGCTCTAGCACACACACACACACACACACACACACACACACACACACACACACTACTCACGGGTACAGGAAAACATCCTAGCTCTAGCTAGCACTGAAGGCTCTCAGGACTTGTCTCTTATAATCCAGCCATGATAGATGGACTGCGCTCAGTGCCCTCAGATTCCTCTCCCTCTGCTTTTGAAGTCTCTTGAGGTCTTGTTCATCTGTGTCCTCTGCTTGGAGAGCTTCTCCCAGACTTCTAGGAGTAATCTGCTGCAGACTCCATGATGGTCCCTCAGAGACTTGAGTGGTCGTATGACAGAACCACTCAGAGACCATGGGGCCTCCCTCATCTCCAGGCTCTGATGCACAGGTCAAAGACCGTACCTGTAATCAGCTTCCGGGTTGTGAAACCACACTGGAGAATCACTAGCCTAGATCCTTGAGATGCAACATGAGAGCTGGGAGATGTTCAGTTGGTAAAGTGCTTGCTGCACCACCTTGAGGACCTGAACCCACATTTTAAAAAGCCAACGTAGTGGCATGTTAACTGTGAGACGAACTGCAAGAGCTGGAGGTTGGATGAGTAAACTAATAGTTTCAATAATAATCCCAGTGTTGGGAGAGAGACAGCAGCTCACTGCAGCTCACTGGCCAACCATCCTGGCCTGCTTGGCAGACAGCTCCCTGCAACACCTGAGGTTGTCCTATGATCTCCACAGTTGTGAATGTGACATGTACACACACACACACACACACACACACACACACACACACACACACACACATGCACGAACACAAACACGTATGCACACGCAGACATGCACACACCATCAATACCCCCTATGGCTTGTTAGAAATGCAGTCTCAGGTCCCACTCCAGACCTACTGAGTCAGAATTCTCAAGCACAGTCAAATCTGATATGTACTAGTTTAGATCACTTGTCATGACCCTGGAGGCAAGACTGGGGTCTAGTGTTTCCCGAATCCCAGCACCCGGCACCCAGCACGGATTGCAGGCAGACAGGCATGAATAAATATTTGTTGAATGAACATGTAGACTTGAGTGCACGCTCTTAGGCGGCAGTTTCTTCTGTTTGTACTTGTCTTGTGGCAGAGCTAAGCAGCATACAACACGTGCTACCAGAATTTGTGGTTTGCTTTGCTGGGGCATATGTAGTCCCAGCACCCAGAGCTTTAGGAACTGCCACGGCAGTTCTAGAATGCCACCAGGAAGGGAGCCCCCAGGGCTTCAGATTCAGTAGGTCTAGGATGGAACCCAGGAAGCAGCATTTCTCAGATTCCCAGGTTTTACTGCTGCTGGCCCAGGAATGCTCATCTAGAACGGCAGCTCTTACAAAGAGCAAAGCTTACACATTCTCTGAGCTTTAGGTGCTGCTGGTTTGGGCTGTGCCCTGGAATCTGCACCTGTGGCCTTGATCCATTCACAGGGAATAACTTAACAAATGCCTAGGCATCCTCCACTTAACCCCAGCCTTGGCCACTCTTTGAATCTGACTGGCAGGAACATCACCCTCCCCGGGAGGTTTGGGAACTGGGATGTCCCCACCTGGACTGTCACCAGCCCGGGTTCCAGCTCTGGGGCGTCACTGCTCCAGCTGGGAAAGGGGAGCCACAAGGCTGCTCCTCCTGCGGTTTGGGGGTTAATTTAGGTTGTGGAAGTAGAACTGAGCTCCTGAGCGCTCAGTAAAGCCGGTGCTGTTGTTACTGGGCCTCTCCTGTCTCCCCCAGGGCTTTGTGTCTCCCATCCGAAGGCTGGTGTTCCCGAAGGCTGCTCGCCAGGCCGCCTTCAGGAACCACGTCAGTCGCCGGCCCCTGCACTCTATGCCTCTGTATCCTCCTGACTACCTCATTGACCCCCACATCCTGCTGTGTGACTACCTGGAGAAAGAGGTCAAGGTGAGCATGAGAAGGGGTGGGGGGCATCGGAGGCACACCAACCCTTGACACACCCTGTGCCGTATGAAGGAAGCTGTGTCCTACCTCACAGCCACAGGCTGCACAGCCTCAGCAGGTGACAACCCCCAATGAGCCCCCCAAATTGCTGTCCTAACATGGGGCTCAGAACCTACCTCCACAGGAGCCTGGGTGGGAAGCCGTGCTGTGTTCCCAAAAGTTCAGCCTCCTCGTGAGATTTTTGTCTGCAATCTCCATTATTCAGTGTCCAGGTTAAAGGCAAGGCAGAGGCTGGGCCTGTGACTTGGTGGGAGAGCACTCACCTAGCATTCTGGAGACCCCAGGCTGCATGTCCGGTGAAGGAGGCGGGGCTGGAGATGGAGGTATTGGGAGAAGCCGCAATGGAGGGCTCTCTTATATTCAAAAGCTTGACTTGTATTTTAGAGCCGCTGTGAAGGAGCACTGGGGAGGGAAACCAGTCCTCATCAGCCAAAGATCGGTGTGAGGTAGGATTAGCACGTTTAACAAACAGGCTACCTAATCAAATTTAAATTTCAGATGAGCAGTGATTATTTCTTTAGCATAAATATGCTCCAAATATTAAATGGAACTAAAAGTACAAAAAAATCCTAAAAACAAAATTGTTGTTTAACTGACATCTTATATTTTATCTGGCAACCCTATAAATAGAGAAAAGCCAGAATATGAATATGTTTAAAAGCCAAGCACTGAAATTTTACAGGATAAAAAGGAAAGATGTGAGTGGTGAGATTCACCCAGAAGACTGCAATTAAAGTAATAAAAAAGTTAATTCTTACACTGAATAATAACATTTAAATGATAATGTTGCTATAACTAAGAATGGATGGGGAACTCACATATTGACCGAGAGCATCATTTTTTTTCTTTTCTTTCATGTAATACATCCTAGTCACAACCTCCTCTCCCTCTGACCTTCCCAGTTCCCCACCACCACCATCTCTCCTCTCCCTCAGATCCACTGCTCCTCTGTTTCGCTTCAGAAAAGAGCAGGCCTCTCAGGGGTATCCACCAAACATGGCATAACAAGATGCAGTAAGACTAGACACAAACCCTCATAGCAAGGCTGGACAAGGCTACACAGGAGGAGGAAAAGCGTTCCAAGAGCAAACAAAAGAGACAGAGACACCCCCATTCCCACTGTTAGGAGTCCCACAAAAAAACAGTCTAAACAATCACAGCATGTATGCAGAGAGCCTGGAGCAGACCCATGCAGACTCCATGATTGCTGCTTCAGTTTCTGTGAGCCCCTAAGAGCCCTGATTAGTTGTTTCTGTGGGCCATGTTCTCATGGTGTCCTTGACCCTTCTGGCTCCTACAATCCTTCCTCTCCCTCTTCCAACGGGGCTCCCCGAGCTCTGTCTAAAGTTTGATTGTGGGTCTCTGCTTCTGTTCCCATCAACTGCCGGAGGAAGCTTCTCTGAGGACGATTGAGCTAGACACTGATCTATGAGTAAAGCAGAATAGTGTTAGGATTTAATGATTTTTTTTTTTTTTTGGTCAGTCTTATTCAGTTTTATCCTAGGTCTCTGAGCCATCCAGCTTCAGGTTCCTGACCATCCAGGCAGTGTTGGGCATAGGTTCCCTCTTGTGGTGTGGGTCTCAAGTTAGAGCAGTCATTGGTTGGCAACTCCCACAATAAATATTTTTATTACTTTTATTGTCTGTTTGATTGAGATAGGGCTTCACTGTGTAGCCCTGGCTGTCCTAGAACTCACTCTGTAGACCAGGCTGGCCTCAGACTCAGAGATCCGCGTGTCTCTGCCTCCTGAGTGCTATGACACCACCACCTGGCAAGAGAGCATCATTAAAAAAAAAAAGAAAGAAAGAAAGAAAGAAAGAAAGAAAGAAAGAAAGAAAGAAAGAAAGAAAGAAAGAAATGATATATTAATTCCATGTTTCTTTCCATTTAATCTGCAATGAGGTTGTTAAAAAGGATTAATAATGCATGGGGTGGGGAGAGCCCCTGGGCAAGAAAATTCCCAGGGTTACTTCAAGACGTAATAGCAGAGCCTGGGGCAAGTGTGGAGAGGGGAATGGTTCAGTGGCTAAAGGGCTTGCTGGCAAATTTGAGGACCAGAGTGCCAATCCCCAAACCCCTATAAAGCCGGGCACACACAGAGCATGCACCAGTGGTCCTAAAAAGCTCACACAGTCGAGATGGGAGGTGGAGAGAGGGAATCCACAGAAGCTCAGGAGCCAGATCATCTGGCATGTGAGGTATAAAACACACACACACACACACACACACACACACACACACACACACACACCGCCTCCAGCAATGTGGAAGGCAAGAGCTTATCCCCTGACTTCCACACAGGTGCTTTGGCATATGCCTGCACTCACGGCAACGTGTATACACATAAACACGGAAAAGAGTAGGGTCTGGCCTAGCATGCAAAGGAGCTCTAAACCTGATCTTTAGCATGGCAGTGGGCTGAGGGGCACCATATTACTTTGCTTCCTGCACAACCTGAGATGGCCAGGTGTTAGTGTACGTCAGTTAGCTGTTGGAAATGTGGGCTCTGGCACATGTAATCCATACCCCACAGGGTCCAATGTCACCCAGGGAGGTCTTGAACTTGCTATGTACCCAAGGATGAACTTGGACCCTTAAACTTCCCGCTTCCACCTCCGAAGTGCTGGATTACAACATGCTCCACTGCAACCTGGCCAGCCTTACCCTTTCTAGCTATAATCCAGGGCCAGACTTTTAGTTGTCTATACTGTGTTGAGCCTTTTAACCCTTAAAGCAAAGATGAATGGATGGGAAAATATACACATGTGTGTATAGATGCATAAACTCAGAACTGGTCCTGGCTGTCAGTGTATTAGTTAAAGTTCTTTAGAGGAACAAGAGAGAGAGAGAGAGAGAGAGAGACAGAGAGACAGAGACAGAGAGACAGAGAGAGACAGAGACAGAGAGAGACAGAGAGACAGAGAGACAGAGAGAGAGAGAGAGAGAGAGAGAGAGAGAGAGAGAGAGAGAGAGAGAGAGAGATTAGAGTGATTTACAGGCTGTGGTCCGTCAAGTTCAACAATGACAGTCTTCTAACAGAAAAGCCAAGAATCTGATATTCGTTCAGTCTATGAGGCTTAATGTCTCATCTGGTCTTCAGTCTTTGTGGAAATCCTGAAGAATTGGGATCTATTACCATAGCAGGGATGCCCCTGCAGCAGGATAGATGAATTTGCCAGCAAGAGCGAGGGCAAGCACGCAAAAAGTGAAAGCTTCCTTCTTCCGTGTCCTTTTATGTGGGCTGCCACCAGAAGGTGTGACCCAGATTTAAGACGGTCTCTGACTTCAAATGATACAGTCAAGAGAACCCTCCACAAGAGTGCCCAGCGGCTTGGGTTTGAGTCAGTTCTGTATGTAGTTAAGTTGACAACCAAAATTAGCCATCACACTGGTTATTATTAATTTGAGTGTTTCAGCCTGTCCTGCATTAACGAGGAGGCTAGAATCTCCTAAGGCTTCTTCACAGTGACCTCCCATTTCCCATCCAGTTCCTGGGCCACCTCACCTGGGTGACTTCCTCACTGAACCCCTCCAGCCGAGACGAGCTCCTGCAGCTGCTGGACACTGCCAGGGTGAGGCGCTGGGGAAGAGGAAGGAGGGCAGGGTCTCCTTTCCTTTCCCTTCCCTTACCCCAGTCCCTGAGGACTCAGGAGATCCGACCCACCCCGCAGCAGCTGAAGGAGCTGCCTCTGAAGACCACGCCGGAGCAGGACAGCATCCTGAGCCTGTCGGCACGCTGCCTGCTGCTCACTTGGCGGGACAACGAGGAGCTCATCCTGCGCATCCCCACGCACGAGATCGCCGCTGCCTCCTACCTGCAGGACGACGCGCTGCATCTGCTAGTGCTTAAGACTGGTGCGGTGCAGGGAAGCAGGGTGGGGAGGCCAACCTGCAGTGCTGGGACCATTGAGTGAAGAGCAAGCACCAGGGATGGGTCTGAGGCTAGGAGAGGGATAGCGGAAATCTGGGCACACTATTCTGAGACTAGGGGCAGGCAGAAGAAGCCATAGGCAAGACCAGACAGCCTGGGGTTGTAGATGAGGAGTGGGCAGCCTGACCAGATTGAGGAGGTTGGGGGGGGGACAGAGAAGTTGGGAGTCCCGAGTTCCACGCGGGGCTACTTTAGCAGAGTTCAACGTTAAAGGAGGTGGTAGAAGACATAATCCCTCGGCTCTGACAGTAGGGGGCACCCTCGGGCTAGGGGAGGACTGGGGTCTGGACTTCTAGGAGGTTACAGTCAGCAATCTGGGAGTGGGACTGAAGATAGCAGAAGTCGAACTGGAAGGCAGGGATGCTTAGACCAGGGTCACCGTCCAAATGAAGGGTACGGAGAAAGGGGACAACTTGACCACCACCTTCAATTCAGAAAGCAGGCCTGAAGGGAAGGGCTCCAGGGTGTGTAGGGGAGGATGGGAACTAAGCTACTGCCGCCCTGGAGATCTGGGGCGGAGCCAAAGTCTGGAGGCGGAGTCATAGGCCCAGGGCGCGGGAGGCGGGGTGGCGGCGAAAGTCACGACAGCAGAGCCTGGGCTCTGGTGCTGGGCGGGGCCTTAGAGCAGGGACCCCAGAACTGAGCGGTGGCCCTCCGGGTGGCCTCCGCAGTCTGTGCGGTGACACCCCCCTCCCTCATCCCTGGCCTCCCCTAGGTCTGGGCGTGGATCCGGTGCCGGCGGGCGTGGACGCCAGCCCCGGAGGTACGGGGCGAGATCCGGGCCCTCCTGGCGCCGCACCCGAAAAGCGGCGGGTGGGCACCGCCGAGCGACGCCACACCATCTGCAGCCTGGACTGGCGCATGGCGTGGGGCGGGGGTGCGGGCGCCGAGGCCCGGGCGGCGGGCGGCGGCGGCAGCCTGGAGCGGCAGCGCGCCGGAGCTCGGGCGTCGGGCAGCTGGGAGCGGCGACAGACGTTCAGCGGCAGCTGGGAGCGGCGGCACGCGGGCGGCGGCGGCGCGGGCAAGCCCGGCGGCAGCTGGGAGCGGCGGCAGGCGGGTGGCGGCGTCGGCGGCAGCTGGGAGCGACGCCACCCCGGCCCCAACCCGCTGGATCCCCAGAACCCCAGCCCCGACGCCTACTGCAACCTGGTCATCCTAGCTGTGGCCAACAGGGTGAGCGCGAGGCAGTGTTGGCGCCACCGCCCTGACGGTCACAATCGCACTAATCACACCACACACGTGAAGCACCGACCCAAGACAGCCGTGGGACAACATTAACACTTAATCCCCACAGCAGCCCCTGGGGCAAATATCACACCTATTCCCATTCCTTAAGGAAGGACATAGGCTTTAAGTTTAGGTCCTGCGTAAGCAGGTGGCTTCAAGATTCGAACCCGGGAAATTCAAAGCCTTACTCTTGGTAACTAAGGTAGCCACCCAAGGCAGAAGCCTTGCCATCATTCTTGCCTGCCCTTCCTGTCACCTCTCTGTCCCCATTCACCTTTGCTCTCACTCACTTGAATATACACACAGACAGTGTTTCTCTGTGTGTAGCCCTAGCTGTCCTGGATCTCTCTGTGTAGTTCCGACTGGCCTCGAACTCACAGAGATCCGCCTGTCTCTGCCTCCTGAGGCCTTCGTCACCACTGCCTGGCTGGCTCCGTGGTGTTTATTGAGTGCCAACTGTGTGCTCCACACTGGGCTAGGTGTTGTGTGTATGGAGGTGAGCAAGCCATTTGGTGTCCTCCCTAGAGGAGTACCCAGTCCAGCAGGCACTTTCAAGCAAGCCTGAGCCTTCCAAACATCTCCTCTACCCCAGGGCCCTGGGCTCTCTCTCTCTCAACCATGAGTGTGCTTGTGTGCAGGGAGAGGCAGCCAATACCTGGAACGCGGCACTGTGGCTCAGGCCCCCACCCTGAGATACTTTCTTACTTGCTATCTAAGGCTCCTTCTCTGGTTTTCCCCACCCCCCACGCCACGCTCCTGCTTGGAAGCTGGTACCTCCTTTTCTCTCCAGCCTCTTAAAGTAGGGGTTGTCTAGATGTTATCCTCAGTCTTCTCTCCTTTATCCACACTTGTTTCTAGGTGATTTCGACTCTGCTGCCTTCTAAAACCTGGAGAATACCCTGAATTTCATCTCTAACCAAATTTCTGCTCATCTTGTCTTTTCCAGGTCTGCTTGTCGTTGCAGCATGAATTTGTCCCATTGAGCTCCCAGTCTCCTCCCAAACCTGAAAGCACCTTCATCTCCTTGTTTCAATTGAATGGCAGCTCCATCCTTGGTGGCTTGGGCTGAAACCTTGTAGTGGGTCTTGGTTTGTCTGTCTCTCTTTCTCTGTCTCTGTCTCTATCTCTGTCTTACACACACACACACACACACACACACACACACACACACACACACACACAATCTACTCTGTCAATAGATCCCACTGGCCTTATTTATAAATACACGCAAATCCTATGGCCTGTACTGTCCATTCCCTGCTCCATCTCCTCTCACTGGGATAATGTCGTCATGCTCTACCCCCATTGGCTCAGCCCTTTCTTACATTCTGTACTCTACTGCCTCATCCAACACAACCTCATCCTGGAAACTTGACTAGGGTGACGAGGAAATGAAAAAGGACAGACACATAGACACATAGACAGAAAAGCTAGGATCAATGGGTCGTGCTGACTCTGAAAGGAAGTGAGCGGCCCGTGTGATAGGGAATGGAGGAAGAGACCTGTTTCAACAGGAAACGTTAGTTCGTTATTGTTTACAATGAAGCAAGGAGGAGAAACAGTCAGTCCAACCAAGGACCTGCAAATTGAGCACCAGACAGAGGCAACCACGTGCGTTGGCTATCCCACTCAAGCGTGGCAGCTTTAAGGCTTCGGTCCTGGCCTGGTGGTAGAATAAGTAAATGAGTTGCTTTCCAGGGCTCTGAGCTTCTGCCTCCTGTCTGAAGTACAGTGGTCCCAAGCACACCAGTCAGAGCTAAAACGCCCGGTGCCAGCCTTAACTATAAAATGAGGGTCCTCTCTGACCTGTCAGGGCAAGCATCCACCCTGGTGTAAATATCAGTACCTGCTACAACCACAGATACCCATCCTGAATTACATTTTAATTTTTACCTTAGGCTTTTTTAGAGGCAGTATATTCTCGTAAGCATGATCTTTTTCAATCAGTTATTGTTTCAAATAGTAATTGCAGAATAATTGGCAGTTATTCTGTGTCTCGCTCGAAGAGGTGACTTCCTCCTCGAATGCACAATCTCCAAAGCCTTGCCCAAGCCTCTTCCTTCCACAGAGACTACTGTCATGACGTTGCTTCCAGTATCGAGTTGGGTACCAGGGAGTCCACAGCTGTACATTGTGTCCAATAGTAATAACAGCACTGAGCCTAAGGTTTTGATTCTTTGAAGTGTCCCTCCTCTTCCTAATCCCATCTTCATTCTGGGCTTTAGATCATGCACCTGTACAGTAAGTTAAACGAGCCCTTATGTTAGGTAAAGTTCTTGATAGGCCAAGAATCCCCTGGAAGTCTGGAATGTATTTTCATGGCACAGGGGTCAGAGTTGCCTCTGGGTTCTATGAAGATCATAAGAACAGGAGAGGAGCCATATAATTTTGAGGGGAAATGTCTTTGAAATTCACTTAAGGGGGTCTAAGGGGTGTGTCTCAGTCCCGGCTCGCACTGCATCTGGGGAAGCAGAAGTGCCCTGATAGAGGCTAAGAGCTGAGCTCTCTTCCTCCCCCTGGACCAGGATGCTGCTGAGGAGTCCTGTGCACTCATCTGTCAAGTCTTCCAGATCATCTATGGGGACCAGAGCATCGAGTGTGTAGACCGGGCTGGCTACCACTACAGATCCACGCCCAAGCGGCCGTGGCTCTCCAGCTGCAGTGAGTACCTAAACTCCCAGAAAGCACCCAGAAAGGCTGGATGTCCTGAGAGTCGGGGCTGATAAAGGTCTTCAGGGGTTCTGAGCTGTACCCCAGTTCTAGGGGTCCACTTAATAGAATATCAGTCTTCAAAATGACCTTTTAAGAGATGATCAGGTTGTCAAGTTTGGGATGAGTATGAACTTGGGCACTTGAACTTCTCTCTTGTTTTGGGTGTCCCTGCTTTGCAGAAAGTTAAGCTTGTGTATTGTCTGCTAACTGCGCCATCTACCCCATGAGGCTCCTAGGCTAACATTGCTGGATTAGTCCATGTATGCAGTCAAGGACTGAAGTTAAAGTGAGACAAACAGGGGCATTTATTGAGTGCCAATTAGATGCCAAGCACAATAGCAAGGTGCCAAGTCTTCTTCTTCTTCTTCTTCTTCTTCTTCTTCTTCTTCTTCTTCTTCTTCTTCTTCTTCTTCTTCTACAGTTTTCTACTTTTATTTTATGTGCATTGGTGTTTTGCCATGAGTGTCAGGTCCCCTGGAACTAGAGCTACAGAAAGTTGTGAGCTGCCATGTGGGTGCTGGGAATTGAACCTGGGTCCTCTGGAAGAGCAGTCAGTGCTCTTAACCGCTAAGCCATCTCTCCAGCCCCCGCCAAGTCTTCTTGACTCTTCATGCAACTTACTTGTCTCATTCACCTAGCACAGGACTGGGCACACCACAGATGATAGACAGGTAGTCTTCGGATAAGTGAAAAATGCTCAGAGCCTGGGCTGGTGAGAAGGCTCTGTGGGGGAAGGGTGCCTGCGGCTAAGCTTGAGTTCGATCCTCAGGACTCACGCACAGGCTGGAAGGAGAAACTGAGTCCCAAAAGCTGTCCTCCCACCTCCACATGGGCACCCTGGCATACGCAAGCTCAAGCCCAAGCACATATACACGAAATAAATAATTTTGTGTAATTTAAAAAAATTTAAAACCTCTCAGAGCTAGACACGAGGGCATATGCCAATAGTCCTCAGCTCTTGGGAAGCTGAGGCAGGAGGAGCAGTTTAAGGTCAGCCTGAGCTACAATGGAAAAGCCTTGTCTTAAAAAAGGAAAAGATCTAGGCATAGTGGTGGTACACGTCATTAATCTCAGCACTTGGGAGGCAGAGGCAGGAAGATTTCTGTGCGTTCGAGACATCGCAGGTTCCAGGCTAGCTAGGACTACATAGTGAGACCCTGTCTCAAAAGGAAAAGAAAAAGGACGAGGAGCCTTTCTGAGGCCCCGTGGATCCAGTTTTACAATTTAAAACAACAACAACAACAAAAAAGTTGAGTCTCAGAGTAGTCAATAATTTGTCACAGGTCATACAGTCGATAAGTCAAGAGTCAGAAGCCAAACCTAATCTGTCTGGTTCCACAGCTTCTACCTGCAACAGCCTGCCTCTGTGTGCTAGGTCACTGAGTGAATTCCCCCCTCCACAGCCTGCTACGGGGTGGTCTCTGCTTGCACAGCTCCGGCACCTGGGGCACAGGCCTTCTGAAGGCCCTCCTACCCGCAGGAGCTGTGCCCGCTGGGAAGCTGGGGTATCTCATCGGATCCCACCAGGATGCTGGGTGAATGAATGAGAGCACTCATCTGGTAGTCAACAATTCATTCATTCAACATATATTTGCTGAGCACTGACTGTCTCGGGCCCAGTTGTAATCTGCAAGATATACTGATGGTGGGTAAACTGAGGCACGGCCACACTTTCCTGCAAGTTGCATGGAATAGTCACACAGATAACTGTCTAACCACAGACAGTGTTTTGAGAACCTGTAATGAGGAACTGGCCTCTGAGAATTCAGGGTGACCGAATGACCCGAGTGAGCTGGAATGAGAAGGCCATGCCTGCACAGATGAGGGGCAGACTGAGGAGGAGGCACATTCTCCACAAATGCTGCTGCTTTCCTTTCACACTTCCAACCCTCTTCCCCCTTGCAGAATCTTCCTGACTCACCTAAACACACACTTACCAACACTTCCCCATTGGCTCTCATTTGCCGTTCCCCACATCCCATCGAAAAGGCAGATGCTACGCGCCTGGGCACTGAGGAAGATGAGGATCAGGGAGTGTTGCCCACAGTTGGCTGTGTGTCGGGGTTGGACCAGAGCTAGATCCTAGGGTACCACTAAGGTTGGGGCTTCAGGGAGCCTGAGATATTGGTCCCTGCACGTCACTTCTGACACGTCTTCTGTCTGCTGGTCCCAGGTGAGAGCTGCCGCACAGATGGGACGTTTGCCTACGACGCCGACTTGAGCTGCTGCAGCTCCTTGTGGGTATCACCTTTGTCGGGGATGCCTGTGTTCTCCTCCTCACCCCTACCCAAACAAGGCCACTCCTCTAGAGTGCGTGGGGGAAAGGGACCCAATCCTGATTTGCGTTGAGGGTGGGATGTAAGCAGAGCTCCAGGATAAACCCCGAGAGACCTAGAAATGCCAGAACTCAGACCCGGGTCCGCAGAGATCTTCAGGTCTCCTAGGTTTAGTGGCCTGCAGAGTCCAAAGTTACAAATAATGCTGCAAACAATATTGGTTGACTTTAGTCTTGGCTCTGTATAACAGAAAACCCTGAGGAGGGTGGGTTTAAAAAGACAAGATTGGTTTTCTTGTCTTTTCACATAAAGTATAACAAGAGTTCAGGGCTTCCTGGTCCTCTGGGCCCCCGAGCTTCTCTTCCGGTCACAGCTTCCTCTTCACCATCCTCAGAGTAACCTCATGGTCTAAGCTGTGGCTGCAGCCATGCAGCAGCACACCAGGAGCCTCTATAGGGAGGGTGGAGGCCAGGGAGTACTTCAGCATTGCCATGCATGCTTAGCATGCAAAAGACCCTGGGTTCATCCCCAGCCCCCCCCCCCACACACACACACTCCTATCTAGCTTACATGTTAGTAGTCAGAATTCGGCCACTTGGTCAGAACTAGCTGCAAGCCAGGCTGGAAAATGTAGGCTAAGACAGCTTTCTGGGTGCTGGGCTGTAGCTCAGGTGGTAGAGCCTACTTCTCCTAGCTACGCACAAAGCCCTGGTTCGATCCCTCACACTCCGTAACATGATGCACACCTGTAACCTCTGCACTGGGAAGGTGGAAGCAAGAGAATCGGAAGTTCAAGGTTACCCTTGGCTACGTAGTGAGTTCCAGACCAACCTGGGATACATGAAACCTGCCTCAAAAAAAAAAAAAAATTTAGAGAATTCTGTTAAGAACATTGCCTATCCCAGTTTGCTCAAGATAGAGGCGTTTCACAAGATATGGGATTTTTAGTTTAAATTCAGTAAAGTCCTGAGCAGACCTGTAGTAATAGGTCCTGTTACTAAGGACGCTGGTGTTGGCAAGTAGTGTGCCTTATCTACACTATCGTTAACATTGGCACTACATTTGCCTCCCTAAGCCTGTGTGCACATAGACCAGTCCATGGCCAACCTGACTTGGCTGAGGAGAGCAAAATCACACTCAGGACACATTTGCTGAGCTTGCTTTATGCTGTAAAGCACGCCATTGACTTTGTCGGGACCTATGTGGCTAATTATCTATTTCAAAGGCTCTATGACCTGAAGTGCTTGACAAATATTAGTTCCTGTCATTTTCACAATAACATCAGTCTTCAGCCTCCCATTTTACAGATGGAAAAGCTGAGGACTAGGGAAACAGCGTTTAGCATTGCAGGGATCAATGAGCTACGAGCACAAGTAAGCTGGGATGTGAACTCAGGAGTCTGCACCCTCGCCAAGTCTCTAGACCCAGCACTTGGGAGGTGAAAGCCAAAGGATCTGAAGTTCAAAGCCCGCTTCAGTTACATAGTGAGTTTGAGGCTAGCCTGGGCAACATGAGACCATGACTCAAGCAACAAGCAGAAGGAGTACACAGTCTTGGCCAGGAAGCTGTGCTGTCCTGTATATAATAATAGAAAGTGATTCTGAAACAAGTTAAAAACCAAGCAAGGCGGGAGCCCAGGCTAGACATCTTATTTTAAAAGCAGTTAATAAAGAGAACTTCCTTCATGGGGCTGGGGGTGCACCTGAGTTGAGAGAGTGTTTGCCTAGCACATCAGAAGCCCTGGTTCCAACCCCCATCATCGCATAAACCGGGCTTGGTAGTTCATGCCTGTAATCACAGCATTTGGGAGGTAGAGGCAGGAGATCAAAAGTTCAAGGCTAATTTTAGCTACATAGAGAGTCTAAGGCCAGTCTAGGATATGTGAGACCCTGTCAAAAACAAAACAGGCCGGGCGGTGGTGGCGCATGCCTTTAATCCTAGCACTCCGGAGGCAGAGGCAGGTGGATCTCTGTGAGTTTGAGGCCAGCCTGGGCTACCAAGTGAGTTCTAGGAAAGGCGCAAAGCTACACAGAGAAACCCTGTCTCGAAAAACCAAAAAAAAAAACAAAACAAAAAACAAAACAGAACCCTCCATGATGAGCCCGGCAGCCTGGTTTACAGAAAGGACGAAAGGAGAAAGCAAGAGCCACACAATTTAGCACAAGATTCAGCCAGCATTGATGATACCACACTGAAGAGAAGCTTCCTGGCCTATGGGAGTCAGAAGGGGACCTTATTTAGGAACCAGAAGAGCTTCCCAAAACTGATGATAGCTGAGCTAGGGATAAAAGGGACAGGGCATCCACACAGAGAATGAACACAGCCATGCAGGAACAGCAAGGACTCAGAACAAGCAGGTAGGGACCCTGTGACTGTAACACCAGATATGAGAGAGAAAGTGAGGAGGAGAGAGGATTCCAGGGAACATCATGAGCAAAGGTTCAGGATGAGGTAAGGAAGGCAGTGTGATCTGAGTTCTGAGAGCAGGAGAGGGCTTGAAAGGTTGCTGGGCCTCATGAAGAGCCTTGGAGGGAGAGATGAGGCCTAGGATGGGGCTTTGAGCACTGGTACATAGGACCAACCAACTTTAAGGAAAGGAACAGAGGTTGATGAGGGTTTTTTCCTCTTGTCTCTGCAGCAATGGCTCCCAGGACACATTTGAAGCATGTTACAGTGGTGCATCCACCCCGTCTTTCCATGGCTCCCACTGCAGCAGTATTGACCACAGCAGCTGGGCCTTCGAGCAGCTACAGGATTACATGGTCACAGTGAGTGCGGTGGCAGTGTTCCGCAGCAAGCACAGTGCATTGCAGGAATCTTATGTGACAGCTCAGCGGCCAGGGAGGGAGATGCCATGGGGAGAGGCCACCTTAGAAAAGCCTTGGCTGACATCAGCCAGCACTGAATGTTCCAAGCCCTTTCAGACATCTTGTCTTTCATCTTTTCAGCAACCCCAAGGAGGTGGGAGATCCCTTCTCACCACAGGGGCAGAGGAGGAAGGCAAGGATCAGAGAGGGAGTGACCTCCTGACACCACAGAGGTGGTCACCAAAGGATTGGGCTTAGGAAGCTGGACCCACATCCCATTCCTAGATGCAAAGGACCAGATATTCCCCCAGTTGGCAATGGAAGGTTTGGGAGGCAGACTGTCGGAGAGAACCCCAGCATTTTTAGCAGGAATCGAGTTTTATTGCACTCTGGGACTGGTCTCCAAGAACGTCGCTGTAGACAGATTTTTCTTTGGGCCGCCAGTTCCCAAAAAACAACACAGAGACTTATTATTAATTGTGAAAGCTCGGCCTATAGCTTAGGCTTGTTTCTAACTAGCTCTTTAACTTAAGTTAACCCACTTCTATTAATTTACTTTCTGCCTCCTGGCTTTATTACCTCATCTCCATACTGCCCATCCTGCTTGCTCTGCATCTCCTAGTATCTCCACCTTCTTCTTCCCAGCATCCTCTCTGCCTGGAAATCCTGCCTGGCTATTATTGGCCAGTTCAGCTTTTTATTAAACCAGTCAGAGTGACACATCTTCACAGTGCACAAAAAGATCATTCCACAACACATTCCTTGTTCTCACAGCTGCGGAGTAAGCTGGGTCCCCCTGAGATCCAGCAGTTCGCAATACTGCTACGGGACTATCGCCTGGGGCTGCCTATCCAGGACTTCTGTGCAGGCCTGCAGAAACTCTATGGGGACCGTCGCAAGTTCCTTCTCATTGGTAAGCCCCGGCTCCCCTTGGCTCCTGGCATCCCTAGTCGGGCACCACCTGGGAGCGCTTTGTTCTTCCAGCCCCTAAGGCCAAGACCTTGAGACTCTGGAACAGAGAAGGAAGGCAAGAGTATGGAGAAGGAAAAGGAATTGCCAGGAAACAGCTGACATGAACAAAGCCCTCGGGTAGCAAAGCTGGGTCAGGTTGTGACCCACCCCTACACACACAGCCTGGGGGGGGGGGGGGCTCAGCCTCAGAGAAGCAAAGGAACTTGTCGAGAGTCACACAGTTAGTGTGTTAGTTAGGGTTAATAAGCACCAGAGGAATAACGCCATCAGCACACAAGCACATGTTGGGCAGTTATCACAAGCCAAGCATGATCTCATAGACTGTCCCCACCTCTGGGAAGTAAATACAGTTATTTTGTGCCCATTTGCATGCAAAGAAACTGAGACTCAGAGTAGCAAAGTAAAGGAAGAAAGTCAAAGAGCTGAAAGGGGACAGAGGCAAAACTAACTTTTAATGGGGCTCAGCATGGGAAGTAGCTTGTTACTACATTTGCACCAAAACAGGTAAAAAGATCTATTTTTACAGGTGAGGAAAGTGAGAGTTGAGTAGTTATTTAATATAGGTTGTATAGCTAATAAGTGGGAATATAACCCTAAGAATATACTAAGCTACCAAACATGTGGGGAGCCTTGGGTCATCTGCTGTTCTGTGAGGTTAAAAAAAGAAAGAAAGAAAAGAAAAGAAATCTTGGGTAAAGCCACACTGGCAGAGAAAGGATTTGAACTCAGACTTCCAGAGAGTTCACTGCGAAGGAGTACACTCCTTCGCAGACTGGTCGAATGAGGGAATCACCTTGCCCTGTGTCCTGTAGGGATGCGGCCCTTTATTCCGGACCAGGACATCGGCTTCTTCGAGAGTTTCCTGGAGAGTGTGGGCATCCGTGAGGGTGGCATCCTCACCGACAGCTTCGGCCGCATCAAGCGCAGCATGAGCTCCACGTCGGCCTCTGCAGTGCGCAGCTACGACGGGGCAGCCCAGCGGCCCGAGGCGCAGACCTTCCACCAGCTGCTGGCCGACATCACACACGACATCGAGGCTCTGGCCCCCGACGACGACGTCTACGAGGATGTCTCCCCAAGCGGAGGCGATCAGGGTGAAGACAACTACCTATAGCCCCGCTGCCCGCCTCGGGTCTCGCACACTTGCTGGTGGGACACCGTCCTCTGACTGCCTAGACATCCTGGGTTCCCATCTGTGCCTTCTGGGCTTCTGTTCCTACAGATGGGTTTCCAGGGCTTCAGTTCCTGCAATACCAAGAACGTCCTGCAGATGGCTTTACTCTAGGGAGAGCCAGACCCTAGAGTTCTCTACAGGATGAAGAATCGCTCCACCTACTGGCGGACAGAAAAGATTTCCAATTCAAGCCCCAGCTTTCTGCACACCCGGCCCAACCTCAAAACAAAACCATTTCCAGAACCCAGAGACCTCTCTTCAATTTTACAGGCTGAGAAACTGAGAAGTTTTTGTTGTTGTTGTTGTTGTTGTTGTTTTTGTTGTTGTTGTTGTTGTTGTTGTTGTTTTGTTTTTTAAGGAATGAATATGAGGGAATGACCCTGTTCTTGGATATCGCTGCCTATTTCCACATCTGTACAGTAATTTCACCTCTTTTCACAAGTGGTCATCGGGATGAATGGAGGTCAAGACTTTAGTATTGAGGTCAAGACCTTAGCCTAGCATGCTGTAGATGCTCAATAAATGCTGTTTCCTTCCACTTGGAATGTTTTCTGACTCAGTTTACCTACCGTTCCTGGGAGCAGTGGGTGGAATGAGATGTCACAAAGACTGAAGGAGTTTACAGCCTGAAGAAGAAACAGGACTGGCCTTCACAGTGGTCTTATAGCCTGGCCTTGTGCCCAAGCCCCAAACACACACTCCGGACTCTGCAGACGCTTGCCCTGGGGCTGGGCAAGTCAAAGAACTGTGCAGATTGGTTCTGCTGTGAGCTATGGATGTTACGACAAGGCCAGCCCTTGGCACAGCCTGAGTGAGGATGGTCAGTGAGGCCAGACAGATACTTTTAGAAGAGAAAAAATGTGTCTGCAAAACCTTGCTAAGCCTTCCATGGCCAAATATTTTCAAATCACGTGATCACTGGGACTTAGTGTTCCAGATTCCCACTTTGTTTTTTGTGGCCAATGACTGTCCCTTCATCACTGGGTCATGCAAGGCTCTCCTGGTGCTCTGTTTCATTCCTCCCCTGTCTATATTCTTCTCCACACCACAAACCCCAGCCCCACATGTCAAAAACTCATCCCTGTCCATGAAACACACAATGCCGGGCTGGGAAGATCATGCCGTGAGTGAAATGCCTACCTCGAAATTATGATGGCCTGAGTTCGAATCCCCAGCACCCATGTAAAAAGCTAGTGTGGTCACATATGTCTTTAACCCTAGCTGGGGTCAGGGGTACAGAGAGAGTGGCCAGCTAATCAGTAAGTGTGGGTGAGAGACCCTCAGCTCAGTGAGACGGCTCAGATCATAAAGCACTTGTTGCATAAGCCTGGCCACCTGAGTTCGAGCCCCAGAACCCATGTAAAGGTGGGGGGAGAAACCAGCTGCACAAAGTTGTCTTCTGACCCCCACACATGAGCACAGTGGTATCAGTCATCACCACCACCCTGCATGTATGCATGCACAGACACTAGTAATAATAATTTTTGGTTAACAAAGAGAGACCCTTTCTTAAAAGGTAAGGCACCGAGAGACTGAGGAAGACGCTCAGCATTGACCTCTGACCTCCGCACGCATGCAGCAAACCAGGACATGTACACACGCACGTACACTAGGCAATGCTGTGTGCACAGGAACACAGCATAAGTGACGTCGGAATGGGTTCTAATTCTTCGACTCCCTTTCACAAATGTGTTGTTTTGCCATTTGGGTTGGATGGTCAGTGGTGTGATATTTTGTGTTGTTCTTGTATTTTGATGGGATCTTGCTGTGCAGCCAAGGCTGCACCCAACTCAGGATCCTCCTGACTCAGTCACTTGAGTGCTTGGATAATAGGTGTGCAGCACCATGCCTAGGCCACTCTGTAGTGTTTTTAAGGTCCGGACACATTATTATGGGAAAACACAGCTTATTGCATTCAACAGCTGCCAGATATTCCAAGTTAAGTATTCCCTCTCTTTTTCCAGTCCTGATGATGGAAAGTTTGCTTTCAACCCTCTCATACCACAAACACTGCTGTGAGGAACATCTTTGGCCCCTGTGGACCCATGTGAAGATTCCTTTGAGCTCTGCCAGGAGTGGAATTAGTAGATCCCAGACACACGTGTGTAAATTTCACAAAACCCTTCCAGAATGGTCTATCCACAGCTTTCAAACAATGCTGTTGTCTTGCGCATCCATCTGTTTTCTCTAGTGCTTGGCTATAATATTTGTCTATCAGTTTGGATGTGGCATCTAAGCAGGACTCAGCCTCAAAATAAAAAAAGCCTAAGAAATACTGGGATATAGCTCAATAGAAGAATGTTTGCCTAGTATGTATGTGACCCTAAATTCAATTCCCAGTAACACACACAAACACACACAGAGACAGACAAATACACATATACCATGCACTCTTGCATTTCTGTGTTAATCCTGAGATCTGTGTTGTTGTTGTTGTTGTTGTTGTTTTGCTGTTAAGATAGTGCCTCATGTAACCCAGGCTAGCTTCAAACTTCTGATCTTCCTAAGTTCTAGGATTAAAGATGTGCACTGTATGCCTGGCTTGTGGAACGCTGAGCATCGTGAATGCCAGGTGAGCACTCTCCGAACTAAGCTACATCCCTAGCTAGCTCCTGAGATCTGAGGCCTCCTTCTGTACCTATTGGGCACTGGGCTTTCCCTGCTATGAACTGCTCCTTTACTGTTTGCTCACTTCCATTGGGTTTCGTGTGTTTTTTGCATTCATTTGCAAGAATAGCATTCAAATTTTAGATATCACTCCGGTGTCGGATGTTGGTGTTCCACATATCGTCTCCCAACATGTTGCCCATCTGTTAAGTTTCTCCGTAGCCTTGATTGACTAACTCCAGTGTGCCCTGGAGCCTCCAGGAAGGCTTGCTAGAACAGACTATTTAGCTGCTTACCCAGAGTTCTTGACTTGATACGACAGAGTTGGGACTGGAAGTTTACCTGGCCAACATGAGCTCTAGTGGTGCTAGTGACCAGAAAACTCACGTGGAGAGCAGCTAGTCCACGGTGCCTGCTGTGGAACAAATGTGTTCTCTTGAACATGCTCTTTAATTCTGATGTTGCCAGGTGTCTTTCCTTAGCTTGTGAGGAGTGGCCTGGAGATCAAGGAGGAGACCCCAAGAAGGAAGCCATGTTGCACAGTGAACTGCAACATGGACTTAATAACAGAGTTCATTTTTCAGCCTCCCTCCTGCCTTGCCTCCTACCCTAAAGGATGTGGCAAGGCTAGCTAGGTCACACTGGGATCTGAGGCCCTAGGAGTCTTAGGAAGATACTGAGGGAGGCAGCCTCTCTTAAAGTCTTCAGCTTCTAAGAACTCAGATTTTGCCCACAGTCCTAGCCAGGGTACCATGGCAACACTTTGAGAGGCACTAGAATGGTTCTTACCCCATATCCCTGAGGATGGGGCAATTTCCCTCACAGGCAGGGAAGTTCATGCTTGCCCCAGAACTATCGTATTACTAAAGTCATGTGACCACTTGCTGTCAGAAGGCCTACAGGTCTGGCTAGGGTAGCCTAATCCATGAGCCTAGGAACTCTGGCGACACTTCCTCCTGTGACAGGACACGCAGACACCCTGCCAGGGTCACTTCCCACCATGGTTCAGTTCCTGGCATCGTAAGAGGGGGAAATCCCCTAGGGTAGGGCAGCTGGCTCCCAAAGACCTCTGGGGTCATGCAAGTGTGGAACTTCATCACCAGCTGGCCCCTCTGGGGAGCTTGATCCAGTGGTAAGATCAGTAAAACTGTCTCTCAGAAAGTGTCCCCTACATGGAGATCTCTCCTACCTGAGGACTCTACAGCTTCCTCCTCCTTCCCTGCTTCTTTCCAGCTGGACACTCATCTTCTGGAAATTTCTAACAGTGTTCAGGGATGAGTGCTGAGGCCCCTGCCATTCAGGCCTCAGGCATTTAGAGAACACCCATTTCTGTGCCCAGTTTTGTGCTAGACACTAGAGGGAGACAGAGCACGTTTCCTGCCAATGACACTCCTGGGTGTGGGTGGGTTTGGATGGGTGGAGTGGGACATGGAGTCTGGAGGGAGGTCTCAACACAAGCTGAGAGTGGTGGCATATGATGGTAACTTCAGCATTTGAGAGAGTGGTGTAGGGGGATCATGAATTGAAGCCCACCAGGGCTATGGAGCTGTCGTGGAGGATGATGATGATGATGATGATGATGATGATGATAAGTGGCATTACAGAATTTTCTCAGTTATAAATTAAAGAGTGAGAAATCCCCTGTTCTTGGGGAATCTGGAAAGGACTTTGAAACAGAGGTGACTTAGGACCAAGACCTTCTATGACAAACAAGGCTTGGGGCAGGTGGACAAGGGAGAGGAAGAGTCCTCCAGGCAGGGAACTTAGCATGGGCAGAGGAAGAAAACTCAAAGGAGCATGGCAAGCAGTTAAATGTAGAGCAGTGAGTGGGTGCTATGGTGGAGGATCAGACTGAATGGGTTTGAATCTCAGAGCTGTTATCTGCTAGTCGGGTAAAGTTGGGGAACCCCTTGAATATCTGTGGTCCTTGAGTTCCTTATCTGTAAGATGGAGATAGCAACACATCACAATCATGGAGTCTTGTGCAGTTTGAACAAGATAGGTCCTACTATGTAGCTGGGCTCTCTGGGTCTCACGTTCAAGACCAGCCAGGGTTACATACTAAGAAATAGCTCAAAAATAAATAGATAGGCCGGGCGGTGGTGGTGCACACCTTTAATTCCAGTACTCGGAAGGCAGAGGCAGGTGGATCTCTGAGTTCAAGGCCAGCCTGGTCTACAGAATGAGTTCCAGGACAGCCAGGGCTACACAGAGAAACCCTGTCTCGAAAAACCTAAATAAATAAATAAGTAGGTAGGTAGTCAGGTAGGTAGGTAGGTAGATAGATAGATAGATAGATAGATAGATAGATAGATAGATAGAGAGATAGAGAGATAGATAGATAGATGATTACTCAAAAAATGTAGTAAATGCAGATGTTATTATTGCTGGAGGAGCAAGGGGGTGAGGTGGTATCTGAGTGGGTAGAGCTTATAGAAGAGGAAATCAGAGAAGCCTGAAGATTGAGGAGCCCTGCAGGGGCAGGCCAGGAACTGCTGGAGAGGAGGAAGAATCAGAGAGCAGAGGAGAGTGGGGGTGGGGCCGAGGCTGGAGCAGGGGTCGGGTGGTAAGATCTCAGACAGGGGAGAGGAAGAAAAGTGAGGGTCCATTCAAAGAGGAAAGAGGACTACTTAGCCCTTAGACGCTGACCTCTTGGAATTTATAGTCTAGTAGTTGACATTAATGGGTTTCAGTTTTTGGTCTTTTGAGGCAAGATTTCACTCTACAGCCCAGGCTAATGTCAAACCCTCAGCAATGCTCCTGCCTCTGCCTCTGGAGTACTGGGATTACAATTGTGAACCACTACATCTGGGTTCACTCTACTGTCAAATGGTGTTCCTTGGAAATTCTGGGTCCAACTACTCCTCATCCAGGCCCAAGGGACAGGTTTGAATGACCCCACTCTTACATTTCCATCCTCCCGGGGTGTTTCAGATGC